TTTGTATAGCGCATATTTACAACAACAGTCATCTCATCTCAATTTTCTCCCCAGAACTGCACAAAACTGTTGAAAATCTGACTTTTTTTTCTTGTTTTTATAGTTTCTTACTGATAAATAGTTAATTTTTTCAATTTTTAGTTTATTCAACAAAAACAAACCAGTTCAGAGGGTTATTAATGCCGATATTCGACATCGGGGAGGGTTTTCGGACACATCTCTCACATTTCAATCCTCCACACGCCGACTGTGACTTCATAGCATTTATTTTCAAATACACATATACAGCAACAAGAATCATCATAAACCAGTTATTGATAAAATGCACAATAACGAGAACAATCACATTTCCACAACTGTACAGCGTCAGAAGTAAACCCAAAGAAGAAGAAGAACAAAATCAAAGGTGACGAGTTTTTGTTACTGCAGAAACCCCCTCCGACGTGACCTCGGGATGGACTCCCGTCTGTCCTGCACACCGAGACGAACGTGGTTCTACTGGAGCAAAACAATTGAGCATGCAGATAATGTTGCATCACACCCTTAAGTCCTACGTGTCTGCTCTGGTTGCTTCGCTGGAAATAAACCTGACACAGCCGGGAGCAAAGGGTTTGACCCTTTATCGCACATTTTCTTTTAAAAAATCCTACATGGGTATATCCTTCCGAACCCAGAGCATCGATAAACAGGATATACAAAGAGACCACTTTGTGAAGGGGAGGCAACAAGCAGACGGCTGTCTCTCACATGAGCTGCATGCAAGAAGCTGGTTCACTCATTAGTGCGAATAATGAATCACTAGGAACACTGGCTGTAGGACGTCTGAGCACATGAACGTCAGGGGAACGTGTTCTTGTTAATTCGTCTCCAGCTCGTACAAAATACAAGGAAAACAACCTGAACTGAAAAGGTACAGACCTGGGCTGCGACAGGAAATAGAACACATGGACAAAAGTATGTGGACACACCTTTACTGTAATACAGAAGTTTTTTTTTTGTTTGTTTGCTTTTTAAAATTTAGTTAATTCCAATAAAAGTAAATCCAATAACTAGTTTACCAACCTGAGGGTCAATCTCTCACTAAAATCCCTACAGTGGTCACTAGCATGTCAGGGCTAGCCACTAGTGTCTCTATGTTAGTGACTAACATAGCTACTAAATAGCATCGCTAAGCTAGCCCTAGCCAATAGCATCCCTAGACTAGTCAGTAGCATCCCAAAGTTACCAATCAATATTCCTATCTCGCCAGAAGCTCAACACCTGCATTCCTATGCTAGTGACTAGCATCACAAGGATCTCCATTAGCATCTCTAGACATGTCACTAGCATTGTTAGGCTATCAACCAGCATTCTTATGCTTGCAAATCGTATTCCCAGGCCGCACTTGACCAGCCCATCCCTATGTAAGTCACTAGCATGCCAGGGCTAGCCACTAATGTCACTAGGTTAGTGATTAGCATGCTTAGGCTAACAAATAGAATCCTGAGACTAATCGATAGCATTCTTAAGTTAGTAGAATGCCAGATGCAGCCATTAGTATCACTAGCAAGTGACTAGCATCCTTAGGCCACAGAATAGCATCCCAAGACTAGTCAATAGCATTCTTAAGTCAGTCATTAGCATGCCCGTGCTAGCCACAAGTATTGGTAGGCAAGTGGCTAGTAAGCTTGGCTAGCCATTAGCATCCCTAGCCTAGTGAGTTTAAAGACTAGAGACCAGCATGACTACACCAGTGACTTGCAATCCTTAGGCTAGAAAATAGCATCACTGAGCTAACCACTAGCATCTCTAAGCTTGTCACTTGCATTTTCAGGCTACTGACCAGCACACCTTTGCTTGCGACTAACGCTGATGTGCTGCCCATGACCAGCTTAGGAATGCTCGTGACTTGTTCAGATGCTAGTGACTAGTCTAGGGATGGTCCTTCAGTTGTTTAAAGGTAGAGTTTGCAGTGTCTACCACCTCCCATCACCTTTAGGATGACCTGGTGCGTCAACTGAGAACTTCGCCGTTGATTTCACAGCAGCAACACGCTCAGTTTTGAGTCACAATCACACTAGCATTGAACATTCACGTGTCCACATACTTTTGCCATGCAGCTTTCTTTGTAACTTTGCAGGGAATTCGAGCATTTCATGAATCTTCTATATTGGTGCCGAGGTACGGATGCACACACAGTAATAATGATAAACCGCCCAAGCTCGTGAACTCGTTGCTGTACAGTTTCTCTCGTTACTCACTTCAGCAGGGATCCTTCCTCTCCACCCATCCATCCAACATCCAGCCATCCATCCATCTGCTTCGCAACACAGTCAGTCATTCTGGCTGAGTACATTTTGAACAGGGTTAAGGGTTCAAACCTTTAAAACGAGACTATGTAACTTCTGAGAGGAGAAATAACGCAAACTTTACAAACGAGCCCGATTCATTAACAGTCAAACATCATTCAAGAGTTAAAATCATTATTTTTTGCTGCTGTAGCCTCATTAAGTCTAACATATGTTAGCAAATGTTACCGAGTCTACCTAGCTTAGCATTTTAGCTACACAACAACTTAGCATTTTGTAGCCGCAGCTGTGTCTGATTAGCAAAAGTTACACAGTCTCGCTTTAAAACTTCATGATATATTCAATAACTGCGATGAACAATATTCTATCTACCTTGTAAGTGCAGTTTATAGCCGTTTAAATACTGTAATCAGTGATGAACTCACTCCGTCTCTACTCCTGATAATTTAGCCATGAAAATTACACTTTAAATGTCGTTAAGGTTAATTTTCCTCCTCATACTTCAAGCTGTAGCGCATTTACAATAGAGCAGTAAAAAAAAATCAACACCGACAGTAGCAGGCACAATACAAATGTTTCTTCATATCAAATACATGTCATATCCACAGAGTACGATTATAAAACTGTGCCCAACACAAACCAAAGTTTCTACTCTATCTGTTCTGTTTTTTTTTTAATCCAGGTTACACCCTTTGTCACCTACAGCGCAGGAGCTGTGTCAGAAATAAAACTACTGAGCGGCTGCAGGAGCCTCGAGGACAGCGACTGATTTAGCTCGAGAGGCCGACGTGATCTTTATGATCTCTTTATTTGATCAAAAAATTCACGATGTGATTTGTTCAATGTTGCTGCTTTATGTTTTTTCACTTTGGCCAGAATTGAAATATACTGGGGGCTTTACCGTGATTTAAAAACACTCTCAAAGCAGGATATGCACCCCTAGATTTCACCAGTTGTATTCCTAGGCTAGCGAATACCATCGATAAACTAGCCACTAGAATTTGTATACTAGCCACTAGCACTCCAGGGCTAGCAACCAGTATCACTAGACTAGCCACTGGCATCCCTACACTAGTCATGAGCATTTGTAGGCTAGTCGCTACCATCTGTACACTAGTTACTAGCACAACTACACTAGCTATTAGTACCTCAGGCTAGCCAATAACATCTATACACGAGTGAATAGCATTCCTCGGCTAGTCACAAGAATCCAAAATTAGCCATTACCATAACTAGGCTAGTCACTAGTATTCCAGAATTAGTTATTAGCATCCCTAGGTTAGTCACAGGCATCCAAAATTAGCTACTAGCATCCCTAGGCTAGTCACTAGTATTCCAGAATTAGTTATTAGCATCCCTAGGCTAGTCACAAGCATCCAAATTAGCCACTAGCATCCCTAGGCTAGTCACTAGTATTCCAGAATTAGTTATTAGCATCCCTAGGCTAGTCACTAGTATCCCAGAGTTAGTCATTAGCATCTCTAGACTTGTAGCTATCATCTGTACACTTAGTTACTAGCATTACTAGCCTAGTCACCAGTGCCCTATAATTAGCCAGTCACGTCACTGCTCGAGTCACTAGCATCCTAAAATTGGTTAGACGAGTTAGCATCAGTGCATTAGTTAGCAGTATTACTACACTAGTCGATAGTGTTACTGAACTAGTATCCCAACATTATCCATTAGCATCTCGAAGCTAGTACCCAGCATCTATATACTAGCCACTAGCATCCCTAGACTAGTCACTAGCAGAATTAGCCATTAGCATCTCTTGGCTTGTCACTAGCATCCCCAGACCAGCCTGGAGATACAAGCGACTAGTATACAGATGCCAGGGACTAGCCTACGTACGCTATTGTCTGCTGAAGAGATGCTAATCGCCTTGTAATGCTAACTGTCTAATATTGGGATGTTTGAGATGTGCTCAGCCACTAGCATCCCTAAGGAACATTAAGTAATATTTAAAAAACATGTTGTAACAATTAAGATGAAAAAAATGTAAAATAAGATTGACTTTTAAGGTAAGAGGCCACGATTTTACACGATTAAACTTAACGACGACACAACACAGTAATTTATATAAATAGTTAAAGTAAAATTTGAGTAGAAAAATAAAATCAAAAATAAAAAAATATGGCCTGAGACAAACTGGCTTTTTGTGCTTTGTGGGTTTTTTAATGTGTTTCTTGGCTGTTAGAGGACAGTAAACGGCGACTTTAATGGCTTAAATGTTGCTGCGAAATGAGACCGACTGGCTCAGGGATGCTGGCTACTGGAGCGACAACTGAAAGATCCCGTCGTCCTCTCGGCCGCTAAATCAGTCACGAAGGCTCCTCCGGGGTCTCGGTGGTCTTATTTTTGGCACAAGCCCTGCCAGAGTCACTACAGTAGCTGGAGGTGCAGCACATGTCGGGACTACACAAAGCAAAGACAGCAGTGAGGTCTGAAAGCTTCTTTTTTTGTTGTTTTTTTGTCTTTTTAAATCTGCCTTGACGAGAAATTTGCTACTTTTCTTTCAAACGGTTTCCCTCCGGCACCCTCACCACACCCTGTAACTGTTCCTTCTGCTTTAATCCGAACCCCAACAGTCTGCATTTCCCTCCGTTTTCCAGGTTAATTTGTTTTTTTTTGTTTGTTTTTTTTATATAGATATATATATATAAAAAAAAGCCATCAGGGAACACCCATCGAAGGCGACACTGACGGGATAAATTTCTAAAAGGGTTCACAGTCGATGTGACAGGAAACCAAGTGACGGTGTCAGATTAACGGGGTGGAGATAAGATCATTCCTCAGATTCACAGGGAGGATTTTGCTCTGCTGGGGTGCTTCAACTCTTAAAGGGACACTTACAAAAGGTTGAAATCAACGAGAGATCAAAGACCACAGAGAGAAAAGTAAATACAAGTCGGCCTAACTCTGCTTTTTTTTTTTTTCTCTAATAGTAAACCAGTTTTGGAAGGGTTAGTGGAGGATTAAACGGTGACGGGGGAGCTAAAAAAAACGTCCTGTGAAAGTAACGAGGAAGGCGTCACAACTCCTCTAACGTGGTCGCGTGGTCGAGGTGGAGGGTGGAAGCGTCGGGGCGCGTTCACAAGCCTTGTTTGGCCAGCGAGGCGGACACCTGGTCGGCCAGCGTGGAGAGCTGCGGAGAGTCGGCCATGTTGATGCTGCCGGAGGAGCTGACGGTGCTGAGCTGGTGGGGGGAGTCTTCCAAGGAGACGATCTCAGCGCCGTGGTCGGTGCGGGCCTTGGCTGTCTCGCGGAAGGTCAGTTTGTGGCTCTCAATCTGCAGCAAGAGCCCAAAAAAAATACTGGATTTAGTTGATTTGTAAAGCTCAGAAGGCCTAGAAAGTCTTTTTTATATGAAGTTTTGTTCCTTATGGACAAAGCTTGAGTGTCTACATACTTTTGACCAAATAGTGCAGCTGCCGTATTAAAAATATTAGAAAATACAAAAGTTAACCTCATATTTGTGTGACGATTATCTGAAAACTTGGCTAGTGAGTGTGTCTGACACTAGGTCTTAACTTGTAAAGTGTTTGTGGACATTATTTTGGTGATTTCTACACTTTTTGCTCCATAAAGTTTGAGTGTCCACATACTTTCATACACAAGTTCAGCTGCTGTATTAAAAATATTACTAGAAAAAAATACATTTTATTTATCCCTAAAACCCGTGAGTTCAAATCTATTTTAATTATATTACTTATTATTTTACTGGGATTTCACATAACATACTGACATTAAATAAGCCAGAATCTGGTTTTTGAACCACAAAAGTTTCTATATTTGAAGTTCTTATCTTGAATTTCAAGTTCAAGGTCCTACTAGAAAACTCTGAAATGTGTTTGTAGAGAAGTTTCATTTTCTCCAATATTTAAGACAATTTCATGGATAATTTTGAACGTGGCATTTTTTAGTAAAAAGGTTTGAAAGTATTAAAATTGAATTAAAGTTAAAATATAATGTCTTATGGTCATTTCCAGCCAGTAGAACTCTACAGGTCAAATGAAAATTCACTACAAACTGCACTGAACTGAGTTACTGACAGACTTCAATCAGTTTCTGTCCATTTTATACGCTCATGGATTAACTATTATTATTATTATTATTGTTATTATTATTACTATACACAGCCGCAAATCATGAGAAAAAATAGGATGAAATGTTGATGAATTTCTTTATTTTAATAGTTTAATATGAGTAATTTTAGGCCTTATTATTTCAACTGATTTGATTTCTGACTGAAGAATGAATTAAACTGCATCCTGGTGCAGGGTGAACAGCTCCCTCTGCTGGTCAACAGCAGGTACAGACAGTAAATGTGTAATCAGATTACAGACAGCTCAAGTTCACCGTGTCATTTGGTCTTTACAACAACCGGCACAAGCAGATTAACCTGCTGACGAAACAGCTCCGGGAAGTGTTTCCTAACAGCTCAGCCTGAATTATAAATGAAGTCATCTTTATATTATCATCCTTGTTAGTCTGAAATAGAATAAAATCCACAAATCCACATAAAATAGACTTTAACACAATTTAATGATCTATCTATCTATCTATCTATCTATCTATCTATCTATCTATCTATCTATCTATCTATCTATCCATATGTTTTTTTTTTTTTACTGCATTTAAAGTTTCGTAAATGTATAAAATGTAAAACACAACAACACACATGTGGCTGTAAAATTACTGTTTTTTTTGTTTTGTTTTTTAAATCCTATTTAGGTCAACATTAATGATTTTTTAGTAATATCTGCCGTTATTTGAAACAAAACTATAATTAAGGATTAAAATCTAAAATTTTACTGTTATTTTACAGATTTTCCATGTTGTTTTAAATTACAGAGATCTTGTAAAATACAGACAAAAAGTTTTATTAACATGTTGACTTTTTTTTTTTAAATGTACAAACGTATTTTTTTTAAAATGACCATTTATTCTTTTACAATGTTTGACTGTAAAATGAGACCTTTTTTTTTTTTTTTTTAAACATTTAAATCAACAAATATTTTATAACAATATTAATATTATTAAATCTGCTTTTATTTGTTCTATTTGGGCTGGAATGATAAATAATTTCTTCACTGTTGATTGACAGATTTTCCCTGTTTTGTTAAATGACACAGATCAAGTAAAATCAGGTAAAAAATAAAAATAAAAAAAGACCATTTATTCTTTTACAGTGTTTGACTTTACAATTAAACAATTTAGATAAACAAATATTTTATAATACTAATATTAGTATATCTGTTGTTATTTGTTATATTATGTATAACTGTATAATTACATATAATCATTTATATTAAGGCTTGAAAATGATCAATGATGTATTTTTCCCAGTTTTGTTCAAACTCAGATCGTCTGTAAAATCACAGAAATTAAAGGACTATCGTACAAGTTATGTGAAATTAAAAAAACATTTTTAAATATTTAAATGACCTACAAATATTGACATTTTAACGATATTTCCGCTGGTTTTGCAGTTTTACAATCATCATTTTTTTCTCACCACAGTTTTTTGTACGTTGCATTAACGTTCTAACTGAGCTCTCATGGATGTACGGTGACGCTAAACAAACCAGGTGTGAAAAGCGTCTGTTGGCGCTCGTCTTGTCGGTACTTACAGGAGTCCTCAATCTTTATGAGGGGGTTCGTCAGGATGGGGGTGGAGGGAGCTGAGGGGACAGTCTGGGGGGACTGGGGGGGGGTGACAGCGGGGGAGGGGATGGAGGGGCTGTCTGAGGTGCTGCCCTCGGCTTCCTTCCCCTTCTCCCTCTGCAGAGGAGCCCAGCGGGGACATGACAAAGGCATGCAACGAAAATACATGTGATGGGTTCAACGGAAAATCCAAAACAAAATGCAAACACAACATGTGAAGAAATGAACTCTGCAAATAATGATGATGATGAGAAGCGAAGCGGCGGGACGCAGGCTGAGGTGGAGACGGACGACGAAGCGGCGATGAGGAGCGATGACGATGTGTACAGGCTCTGAAGTGGGCATGTGTGGGAAGTGATTCTTACATGGAGCAGAGGAACGTGGTTACTAATGAGAAACACGAGCGTCTGGGTGTTGTTCACTTGATCTATTAGACCAGGGGTGTCCAATCCTGGTCCTGGAGGGCCGTAATCCTGCATGTTTTAGATGTTTCTCTCTTCCATCACACCTGATTCAAATGATCAGCTCATCATCAAGCTCTGCAGAAGCCTGATAACCATCCTGATCATGTGAATCAGGTGTGTTGGAAGAGGGACACATCTAAAACATGCTGGATTGCGGCCCTCCAGGACCAGGATTGGACACCCCTGTATTAGACGAACCTCAAACTAATGTGACCGTGGCTGTGAAACATTCGACCACTTCAGCTAATCGAGGTCCTGTAAAGATTTTGAAGCACCACGGTCACCTGGTGCTTTAAGAGTCTATCAGCTCTATTTGTTATTTTTAAAGGAGAAAAAATGTGAGATCCAAACCTGCAGTGCTTCATTATCTCTCTTTCTACATGTCCTCTCTTTCAGTCTTTACTTTTCAGTCGAATATTGACGTTTCTTTGACAGTATTTTTACTGTGCAACTGGAGGAGAACTTAGAGAAAATGTGCAAACAAACCGAGACACAGTTTGTCTGCAGCCTCTAAATGAGCCCCAGCACCTGCCCTGAGCGCCCTGAACCTGTGATGTCACTGCTGTTTCATAGAATGCATCATAGAAACCAGAATTAGATCCTAACACCATCATAATTCTTACTCCAGCTTTTCTAGTTGGGTAAAGCGTCTCCAGGCTTCTGAAATCAGGACGTGATGTTTAAATAAAGCAGAAGGCTCCATCTATGTAGACGACTGTCATGCAAAAGGAAAAGTTTGGGAATGTGGATGTTGTGAGGGGATGTCTGAAGATTTAGTTCTGATTTGAGCTCCTCTGCACCGACTCTCAGTTCATTTAGAAGTGACTTTAAAATGGTTTTAATGGTTCAAGCATCACTACGTGGCGTACATCCCCTCAGGTGCTGCTGTGAGCACATTTTAAAGCCAAATAAAAATCCCCAAACAAACTGGCCTTTAATTAACCCATTTCCCAAAATGAATCTGTTTAAATGTGCTAGAAAAATGCATTTTACTGTCTTGCTTTTAATCTTCTTTTATCACGGCGTGTTGTGTACAGAGTGTAGCTGCTGTATGAAAAAGGTTAGAAATGCTGTATGTTGCATTACAGCTTTGTACAATTTTTATTTTATTATTATGAAAAATCATGTGTATGTAAATGTTTATCCACATAAATAACTTCATTTTATCTTCGCTTGATGTTAAATTCCAACGTCGGATTAGAAAAGCTGGACATTTAACCACAAACTGCTTGTTTTTCCCTCAGAGGAGGCACAAAAACAGGCCTTAGCCCTGAGTTTTGCCTGCAGTCGACCTCAGGCTGCGTGAGACCTTCAGCATTGCAGACAGGACCTGACAGGTGAGGCGTAGGGCAAAATGAGGGTATAAATAGTTTGATTTATTGGGAGATTTACAGCTGAGGACGGTTGGAGGACAGAGAGAGTGAAACTGCAAAAGGTAAACTGAGATCTTCTCGTTGTTGTTGCTCTGTCTGAGATGTGCTGCGCGTTAACCTATCAGAGCATCGCGACAGGCAGAAGATGACGGATGTGATGAAGGAAGACGTCAGCGCACTAATCAGCTGGGTTTTTTTTCCTTTAAAGCTGTAGTGTGTCTGTGATGTTTTTACCCTCTTCGCTCCGCCTCCGGGAACGTGGCCGATGTTGTCCAGAGAGCCGATTTTGGATTGGACTTTGAATTCCAGCTTCTCGTTTTTGATCTCAATGTTTCCGCCGCCTGAACAAGAACAGAACAAAGAACCGTTATTGAGCTTTAGAGTCTGTGCAAAAAAACCACCACGCTGACAAACTACTGCCACGGAGCTCATATGTCGCCCTGAGCTGCACCACCCAGAATGAGGTTATTACAGATGCATTAAAAACATTTAAATTCTAGCATTTGTAGGATTTTAAACCTAAAACTGGGTCCTGAGTTGATTCAAGGCAGAAAAGGAAGAAACAACTTGACTTTTTTTTTTTTTTAACATTTTCCCTCTAATGTATTTTAAATCAACTCCTACAATATTTTCAGGGTATCTTCTCCACCTTTACTTTGTTGTTTATTACAGCTAATGTCACCAAATAATGTCGTTATTGTCTTTTCATTCTTTCGAACCCCAAAATCTGCTGGTGGGATCTTTTATATAAAGCGAACAAACAAAAAAGATCCTCAAGATAAGCACCAAAATTACACCATTTATTAAAACCATAAACTGTAAAAACAGATTTTCAACTTTCTAACCATCCTTTGACTATTTATCGTAACATGTGCTGTTAAGAAACTTTCAATCTGAGCTGAAAATTTGCCATTTTATCTGAATTATTTTATTCTACATGTGCCATTGAAAAAAAAAAGCTGAAAATATGTTGTTTATTCTGACCAGATTCTGTAAAAAAACCTAAAAATTCTGCACTTTTCTGGATGACTCGGTTACAACCAACTGATAAAAATTCAGGGATTTTCCGGTTGAGCTGTTGTGTTTATACACCGAGCAGACAGGACAAAAGTTCTTAAACAGATTAAACATGTCTGTAGAGCTGTGATTTTTTAACACCTGTGGGCACTTTTCGTAGAGGTGCAGGACTTTATATTGCAGTAAAAAATGAGCCCACAGTGAATAAAAATGTGACAGAAGCACAAAAAACCCCACAGACACTGAGTCCAGACAGTTTTTTTGAATGAAGGTTTTACCTGGCTTGTGGCGAATGTTGTCTTTCGATCCACATTTAGATTGCACGTTGCTCAGGTCGATCTTTTTGTGCACAATTTGAATCTGTGCAGGAAAAAAACAAAAACAGAACAGAGAGCAGAAACAGTTTAAGGCAGAGTAACGCTGTCGCTCGTCTTTGCATGCAAACACAGAGCAATAAACTGGCCTGTTAGTCTCTTTTCACCAGCAAGGAAACACACCGATCACACACACGAGGACAGACTGGATCAGGTGTTAAAATCTGTGAGCGGCTCAAACTTTTTTAATGAAAACGTTAAGCGGTCGTCTTCTGCACCCGTCAACATGCGGCGCTCATGTTGACGGCAGATGAAAGCCGCGTCTCTCAGTCGTGCATCTCGATGCAAAATGAGCTCATCTCGCGGCCGTTTGTCTGGAAACACAAAGCGCTCAGTCTGTCTGAGCTGAGGTCACCTCAGCGCTGATGACAACAGGCACAGTTTGGTGGAGAGGCCCAGCACAGAGACTCTTTGTTGCTCTGCACAGGCTCCTTCTCCTCACACTTTACAGCACAATTAGTTCACTTCACCGGGAGGTCATTAGGATCTATCTGTTTGTTTCTAAAAAAAAATAAAAAATGAAATAAAAAATCTGGAAGAAAAGCATCCACACACAGGAGTCATGCATGTTGGTTTAGGGGCCAGTTTGGGTGCTACAGCTTCAACATCACGCTTACATGAGACCATGAGCATTACATAACAGTGTGAGCACTACAGCACTGACACACTCCTAAGTGGAAACCAGTGACAGAGAAGTGCTGCTAGTACGGTTTAGTGCTGCTCTAGTCGCCCGTATGAAATGCTCATGACTGTCTACAAGTTGAATGATAAAGCTGTTAATAGGAGGTGTTAACAGGTCTGAGTGTCGGGAGCATCGAGGTCAGGAGGGTTGAACACAGACGGAGGTTTCGTGCTCCTTTGTGAAGACGCATTCAGTAGAAGCAAGAAAAAGAAGAAGCCTTGTCACAGGCCGGACCTTGATTTACTCACATTGCCACCACCGGGTACATGTTTTATATTATCTTTGGAGCCGCACCGGGACTGCACATTGCTTAAGTCCAACTTCTTATCAAGAATTTGTACCTGGAAAGTTGATATGTGGGGGGGGAAAGACAGTGTTATCCTGGAGGAAGCAACAGCAGCAGAACTGCGAATGAGGACCAGAGCTGGAGGGGAGAACAGATGCTGGAGGGACGAGTTGGAGGAGTGAGAGCTAACCAGGGGAGGTGGGAACACTTTTAATCTGAGTGAGGATCAGAACGGCTCTCGTGTTGGGGAGATGCCTTCACATGACCATGTTTGCTTGTTACTGGCTTTGGAGCCGCAAGAAGCTGACAAAGGATTTCAGAGGTTTTCAGAATGTGGCAGAAACATCCGGATATAATTCTCTGTGAGATGAAAACGGTTCAGCGAGTTAAATATTTATCTATAAAGTTATTTATCTGTGATCAAAACATCCCAAAGTATTAAAGATGTCAATAAAATCCACCAGGAACTGTACAACCAATCATAATCTGTTGACATTTGTGTAACTTACTTTTTTTTGGTCAACTTCTCTCCAGTATATTATAATTTGAGCTAATCTGTTAGCTGATGGGAAGAAACTTGATCGATTTGATCAGCTTTTCCAACCTGGGACTCGATGCTTTCTCTTCCTTTACATTAAAGTAAACCGGACATTTTGGGATGAAGTTATTACCAGTAATTCTGACGGTAAACTGCTAATTAACGTCTTACATTTGATTATTTCATCATGAGTGTGCAGCAAAGTGACACGTTAGCCAATAAAATAGAACTAATTAAGTGATCACTGAAACTGTAGTTCACAAACAAACATGATGATATGCCCAACAGGTGTGACACAAACCACTAATTTGAACTTTTTCATGTAGTTTCAGGACATTTTTTGGCAGAACGTCCCATCAACATGCTTCATATTCTCATATTTGTATTTGTAACGTGTGCAGAACCAAACATTCCTCTGCAGCTGTGGTTGGATGCAAACTCCTGTCAGACTCTGAAAACCTCTGAAACACTTTGACCACTTTCCATTTTACCGACAAGGTTGGTTTTGATGATTAAAAAACTGCGGAGAAACTCAAAACTGGTGTTGAGTTCATCCCTTAAGTTACTCACATTGCCGCCACTGGGTACATGATTCATATTGTCTTTGGAGCCACACTTAGACTGGACATTACTATAGTCCACCTTCTGATCAAGTATTTTAACCTGGAAAAGTGCAGAGGTGAGGGGAAGAGACCGTTACCCTTCAAATCACTGAGAGCAGTGAGGCTGCTGCTGTAAGCACAGCAGGTCAGCCTTGTGTTAAACAAGACATTTGAGGCAACAATAACAAACATTCCCTCTACTTGTGTTATCTGAAGTTTCAAACTATTGTAGAAGTCAAACACAAGCAGGTCTCTCACCTTGCCTCCACCAGGCGTGTGCTTCAAGTTGTCTTTAGAGCCGCAGCGAGATTGGACGTTGGTTAAGTCCAGCTTCTTATCGAGGATTTGGACCTGCAGAGAAAGAAAAGATAAAATTCTTTAGGAATTAACCTGAGAAGTGGAGGAGGAAGGGATCAGCCCAAAAAGGAGGAAGTAGGATGTTAAAAGGGAGGAGAGCTATGCATATTTGGACTCACTGTGATGAAGCTGCCATCTGTAACTTGTCACACTCGTGTCCGAGGAAGCAACGTGTGAAACTACGGGAGGTTTTCTAATGACTTTGGTGCAAAATGTGACACTTGTAGTGCAATCCCAACAAGCTGTGTCTCGTATTTCTTTAAAATCTTTTTTCCTCCTTTTAGAAACAGAAAATGTTACAGATGCCAGCTTTAGAGCATTAAAAGTTCACCAGGAGTTTTTAGTGCAAAAGGTAAGGGCTATAAAATATACATACATGTTTTAGTGTCTTATTAAAGATTACTGAGCAGATTGTGACGAGTGCCATTTTCTGATTTAAACATGGAGATCACTTACAGGAGAGCACTGTATTTTTATTTTATTATTTTCCTTTCTTTTTACCAAAAGTTGGTTTCGATGATCATAACTGCAGAGATACTCAAGAGTCTGGTGTTGAGTTCATCCCTCAGTTACTCACATTGCCGCCACCGGGTACATGTTTCGCATTGTCTTTGGAGCCACACTTAGACTGGACTTTACTATAGTCCACCTTCTGATCAAGGATTTGTACCTGGAAAAATGAAAACGCCAGCTTTTAGATTGCGAGTGGAGACGAAGAGCGAAGTGAAGCCTGAAAGAAATGGACGTTAAGTCGTGCAGAGGTGCTTTGTGTAACCACATGCAGGCTGAGAGTGATGCTTCAAACTGTGTTTTGGTTTTGAAGCTGGTTTCTCTCTGAGTTATTTCTACTCATTTCTTTAACCAGGTCAATACTGAGCAGGACAAAACACAAGACCAAATACGAGGAGCAATAAACACTGTAATGTTTGGTTTTTAGGCTCATTTTCTCTTCTTTTATGTGCCACTTAAATATCCAGATAAAATCTTTCTCTTCTGAACTCTGAATTATTAAAAAAAATAAAAAATTGGTCCATAAATATCACAACACATGATCCTCTCAGTTTCATCTGTGAAACATCTGACACGTGACTGTAGCCTAAATAAAATTAGACCAAAGACTTGCAGTGCTTTTAATGCTAAAATAGACCTCTAGTGCTACACACACCCACACAAAAGTACAAACACACACTCACAATACACTCTGCACAAGCTGCAGACTGGAGTTTGAGTTCCACAAACATTTGTTTTAGAGGTACAGCAGCTCTGAAAGTTGAAAGATTCTGATTGGCTGATTCAGATCTCAGTAGGCGGGGCCAAAGATTGAGCAGATCCAGATTGTCTCCAGTGTGAAAATGGTTGAAACAGTAATTCTAAAGTGGAATATATAGTTTATATCAAGTGGAAACCTCAAAGGTTGATGGAGATGCAGAAAAGCCAAAAGCTGCAGTTCCCTGAATGGCCACTTGAGGCTGGTTCCAACAGCAAGTCAATCTTCACAGACCCCCATGTTAAAATATAAAACTATACAGCAGAAATAAACATGTTTACAGCCTGGTATAAGAAACATTTTTAGTCTGTTTAGCTAATTTTCCAGTTCATGACAGCTGTATGTGGAGTGAATTTTTATACAACTCATTTATACAATTTACACAACAGTTAAACTGCATTAAGGTTTAAAGTTTGGCCTCATTAAGGTCATGACAGCTTTCATGCCACGTTTCAACCTCCAGCTCCACTCATGCTACGCCTCTGTGCTCATTTATGGATTAGAAGGGACTTAAAGAGTCAGGCATTGCCAAGATGTGACGGCCAGAGAAAAGCGATGAGTAACGGGTTTGTCCATCTTTACATGCAGTCAATAGCTACACCTTTTAAACCGTAAGCATAAAAAACTATTACGCATCCAGCCTTTGACTTGTACTCTGAGTAAGACATGTGAATATCTATTTCTGACATCATCGATACATCCTACTTCATGAAGATAACTATATTAAAAAGTATTACTCCGAGATAGGATCCAACACTAACCTTTAAATTCTGTGTAACAGAGTAACAAAAGCAGTCAATTTAGGCTAATTATCTGATATAATTACCTGCTTCGCGCTGCTGTTAAGGCAAGACATGTAATGTTTGTTGTGAGTGATGTGGCAGCAATATCCATTCAGTTTAGAGGTGACAAATTAGTAGATTCTGCAGTGAATAAAGTAACGCTGGTTGAAAGTCATTAATAGCCACACAAGTCTTTGTCATGGTGACCCATTGCTGACTAAACCCCCACAACGCTCTCTGATCCCCATCATGGACCTGACTGTAGCCAAAGTCCTCTGCAGTCTCTTATATCATTAAACAGGAAGTGTCCACCGTGTAGCCAGCCAGGTACTACAGCTAATCTACATCACATGTTCTGACACGCACGTCCTTCACCTTCTGCCTTATTGGTTACATTTTTTTAATTGATTAAATAAATAAATCAACTAACTGATAATCATTAACATAGGGATGTTGATGATTATCAGTTAGTTGATTTATGTAGTTCTGCATCCATCCAGGTGTCACAGTCTGAACACTGAACATTTGGATGAATTTGAGTAATTTTGGATCATTTTGGTGTAATTTTTTTGTAACCATGTTTCTGGGAGACTTCTGGATCTGCCTACTGATGGTTTACCACAGCCAGTAAGATCATTCCTCCTTCCAGAGCAGCTGTCTCAAAACATGTTTGCTTAAACGCGATAAAACTCTCATCTGCTAACTGCAGCAGAGTCTGGGACTGTTTGTTGTACGAGGTGCACTCAGTGAAACAGCTGGAGTCACAGTCAGGTTACCTTTCCACCTCCTGGCTGGTGCTTGATGTTGTCTGTGGAGCCGATCTTGGACCTGACGTTCTTCAGGTCTGGCATCGGCCCTGCGGCGGCGGCCAGAGGAGCCGGCGGACGGCTCTTCAGCGATCCCGGAGATTTGGGCGTAGAGCGAACCACTGCGATCTTCTTTACTTTGTTGGCCTCAGCTGCAGCCTTTGCCGAGAGCGCTTGGCTAGAGGGGGATTTAGGGGTACCAGGGCTGCTTTGTCCACTCTTTTCATCTTAAGCAATTGGAGAAGTATTATGTCAGGAGGTTTGAAACATGTCGAGCCATTGACGTAAGGAAAATAAAAGAAATAATCAAACAACAACAAACTACAAACTAGGAGCTGTGCTGACTAAAAGCTGACCAAGTTTGATTCAGGATCAGACTGTGGTCTCATGGCCATGCGAGGCTGGAAGTGATCTCTAATGATTCGCTATATTTTTTTTTTACCTTTTTCATTTTTTGGAGTGGGGGGTTTCTTGGCACTAGCTGTATCACAAAAAATATGACACATCATAAGTAATGTTTAAATCTTAGTCCTTAGAAAATCAATAAAACAAAATTAAAGTTAAATCAATGCGAAGTCCTCAGTTTGTACCTGGTTGAGCTGCAGTTCGTCCAGTTTTGGCTCCTGGGGTCTGAGGCTTTGCACCACTCTGAAATCAACAACACGGTTTAGTTTCCAGCAGAGATGCTGTTCTTACTTTGGCAAAGCTGCACTTGCTTTGATTCTACTTTCACGAAAGTGCGAGACAGGCGACAGTAAGCAAGACATGTAATCACACAAATCTTGCAAATGAGTGTAATCAGTGAGGAATGGACGAGGCTTTGGTTAGTGGAAATGTTAGGTGACAGAAACAGAAATCAGGTTTGGGTGAAATCAAACCGACTGAACAACCTCCTCAGTTGTTCTCTTTCTCTGACCTTTTAAACAAGATTCAATCAGCGCCAGTAAAGGAAGCTGAGCATCAGTCAAGCCACCCTGAACCCAGCTCTAAACTCTAAGCTGCACTCAGACCTGTACTTACTCCGGGCCCTGTGCTGCTGGTTTTAACAGGGATCGAGCTGTGGCCGTTTCGGGAGGATGCTTGTGTTTTGTTGCCCTTGGCGGACATGGGCGGTCTTTTAGGGGAAGAGGTTGGTTTGGTGGCGGTTTGAGTCTTTTTCATGAAAAGGAAAAAAATGAATGGAAAACAAAAGATCTAATGACAACGACCACAAAACAGAAGAATGATTTCACAAATGACAGATGATGAAAAGAAATGGATTTAATTCATGGATGTGACGTTTAAGGATCGTTCTGATTTATCACAACTTGGGTCCCACCATCGTAGTTTTGGTTTCAGCTGACAATCTACAGATGGATTCATTCAGATTGTCCGTTACCACCACTATGATAAAGGTTTGTGCAGATGAAAAAACACTTGCTTTAAAGAACCGTTAATCATTTTGGGAACTCTGTTAATTAGAGTCTTGCAGCAACTTGGATGTAAAGATTGATACCAGTCTGATGCAGGTCACTGAGCTTAATAAAGACTGAAAACAGGGTTAAACAACTGACTGTCAAAATGTTCCAAAATCCACCTGCCAGCACCTTTACAACTCTTTCAAGAATCGTTATCGTTTCCAGTCTTTATGCTACAAGGTAAGCTAGACTGAAGTTAAAGAGCCCATATTCTGGGGGGGTGTATACTACTATATGTTTACGTTCTTTCATGTTTTGTCTCATACTGTACATCGCTGCAGCACCTCTGTCTGAAACGCTTCGTTTTAGGTGCTGTCCCTCCTTCCTGAAAGACCCAATCCTCTCCGGTGAGTTGTCCTAATGAAAACGTCGGTCACATATTGTAACAGCAGATCTCTGAGTATGAGGCAGAGGGACTTGGCTTTAGCAGAAACGACTCTACTGAGGAAATATCGTGAAGGCAACTGCTCGTTCTTATTTGAGGCCAAGCTAGATGCTCGGCAGGCGTTATTCAAATGTGCTACACTGTGACATAGACAAGTGACGAAAGAGAAGCCTGGACTTCAAATGAGGCATTTCAGGCAGGTAAGGAGTTTTCTGTGAGTACTTTGGTGTGGACGTTGGGCTTTGAAAGCTTGCAGACCTTTCACATGCACAAAAAAAACAGCTATACAACACTGAAGGAACGGCAAAAAGCATAGTATGGGATCTTTAAACACATAGCCTTAAGAGTGGTGTTAATCTTTTCAAGTACCTCCCAGTCATAAAAGTCTATTTCCAAAGATGTCAAACTTTTCCTTCAGGCATTGTTGTCATGATTCAAAGAAGCCAATTTTGACAGATGGTACAGAAATGTTTTACAGCAACTCCTGCCTTTGGACCTGCGATTTAGGCACTGGACAATCACACAAGCTGTAAACAAGTAAGAAAATCGCACACCTTCACGTCCAAGATGAAGCAGAAAGTGACAGTTTAGGACATTTGAACTTCATTTTGTCTTACAAATGATTAAGTCTAACCTTTGTTTTAACAGCTAAACGTGCTTGTTGTTCTGGCAACTAAACTAAAACAAGACCCAAATTTTAATAAACCAGAATGATCCGTTAACAGCAGAGGGATAAAAGAAATGAGACACAACTTCAGTGATGCTCTTGGTCACATACCTTATCTCCATTATCCATCTTTGCTTGAGCTACAAAAAAAGCAAAAAGAAACAAACTTTAGATTTTGTCCCATTTTTTTTTTTTAGCTTGATATCTGTAATTTTCAATTTTATCCACCCAAGTGCAATAAGTTAAGCTTTTTGCTTCCGAGTGTGCCTGAACACATTCTCATGGCAAAAAAAAAAAAAGAAGTGAAATCAGTGATGTTGGGTATGCAGCATGCAGAGTGACACATAATGCACACCGAGTGCAAGTGTAAAACCAAAAAGTGGCTTTTCGGGGCTGCATAACCGGCAGAGTGAGCAGAGATGGAGAGATGAAACCAAAAGCTAAAGTGGGGGAGGGAGGACAACAAGCTTCTCCTCAGGTCAAAGTTAACGTCCGGAGAAAATATTCGGAGGGAGAGTGCTGCATAACAGAGAGTAGAAGCTGCGTTGTAAATCAAACAAGTGGAAGGAGGTAACTGAGGAGGACTGGTTCTGAACTGGTGAACATGACAGCAAACAGACCTTTGAAAATAGCGACCGGCACCAATGACTTTCTGGCCGCGGTGCTTTGGGGGGGAGTTTTCTGGAGCTCAGCGGTGCCGGTGGTCTGAACCACACTGCTCCTCATCTCTGAGTCATTAGAAATGTCAGGCTCTGAATAGCTGGCCCTATGTGCCGATGAGTCACCGCTGTTTTGGGCTGCCGTGTCAGATGGCAATTTGGTAAAAAGACGATCCTTGTCGGAAATGTTCCGACTGCCGAGAGCTGGATGAGGGTCTTCTGAATGGGACTCAACGCTAGACTCTGACAGACTGTGTGAGTGAGATGGCTGTTTAGTTTCTGACGTGAGTATTTTGCTCACAGAGTCACTGCAGGACTGTAAACCTGCCCCGTCAGCAGGCAGTTCATCTTTTGGCTGCTCTCCCTCTCGTGCTCTATCTCCGATGGATGTCAGGTCTTCTAAAGCGGTGCTGCGGATTAAAAACGTCCCAGAGAGGTTGTTCATCTCGGTCAGGCACTCGGAGGCGTCCAGGCTGATCGCCCTCTGAGCATCCACAGCTCCCGTCCACTCAGGACTCCCCCTGCCGGCCTGCACGTTGCGTCTAATCTCCGACGCGCAGCTGAGGTCTTCGGAGGCCCATAAAGAGTCACTTAGCCTCTTCCCACACTCCCCCACTGCCGTGCTTCCTGGGTCCGGAGGGCAGGAAGCTCCCAAGAAGTCAACGCCCTTCCCGGCGGCTCCATGCACTTCAGGCTTCGCAAATTCGAACTCGCTGCGGACTCCAGTACCAGGCCTCGCTAATTTGTTTGGAAAGCAGATTAATGATGACATTTCACAGCACTCGTTTTCCATCTCCCCATTGAAACAAAAAATAATTACAGAAGTGAAGAAGTGATGACCATGAGGGAAAACAAAAGACTCTCATTAACCAGAAAAACACCAAGAACAGAGAGATACAAAAGGTGATGATGCAAGACCATGAACTGAGAGGTGATTAATGGTGGAAAAAAAACAACCTGTCAACACAAAATGAGACAGAAATGGACAGTAATGCATCACACTGGGGTGACAGAGGAGAGATGATGCATTCCAGTGAACATAATGAACAGACCACTGAATTATGCATTTTCATTGTCAAAAAAGGTGATTAAAATGTGATATGAAGTCTCGCTGAACTGATTCTGGCAGCTTAAAATAATGTAACCCTCCCAAGAAATGTCTTCAAAATACTGAGGAGCTGTGAATAGTATGTTTTTACTGGAGTGTGTCACCAGAATCTTTTTCAGCTTAACACAATACATCATTATATATTTTCAAGAAAGCGTTTCAAGTGAATTTCTAGAATTAAATGCTAAGTAGTAGTTAAACTTCAGACTTCACAAAATTCAATTTTAAAGTTTTGCTGATATAAAGTATATATACAGACATTATGTGTCTATGATATTCTACCTCAGAGTTCCTTTAATTTATTGTTTAAGATGTAAAGGCCATGCTGCCTACAGATTAAATCTATTCCACAGAGCAGCAGCAAGAGCTTTGATTGGCTGGACTCCTACCAGACACACCAGCTGACCAATCAGAGGGCTTGTAACCCCCATCAGTGACTGAGCTTTCATATTTCTGGGGGCAAACTACACTGACATCTTGAAATTAAAGTGAAACGTCTTTACACTAAAGCAGCACTGACACGTACATTATCGCCTCTAAAAGGTTTAAAACATCTTTGTAAACAAATGCCAATATTACCTCTGTTTTGGTCTCCACCAACTCCAAAGGGAATATGGCTCCTAAGCTGCTAAATGTGTCACTATGTTCACTAGCTAGTCTCTGACTGTCCAAAGTTGTCAACATAATCCCTTTTTTGCTCTATTTTTGGTCTCCACCAACTCCAAAGGGAAATATCTGCCTCTGAAGCTGCTAAATTCGTCAATATATTCACCCATTAGTCTGTAACAGTGTCTGTGTGGCAAACAGTTGCCAACATAAAGTCTCTTTTTGCTCTGTTTTTGGTCTCCACCACCTCTGCAGATCTGTTGTTAATGTTGATGCATTTCTTTAAATTGATAAGGTGTTTAAACTGTAGCAGTCACAAACAGAGAACACAGAAGAATCACAAGAAATATGATAATAATAATAATAAAATGCTAATTAAAAATGTGTTTGTCAATATAATTTCAATGTTATAATTGTTAATTTATTGTTTGAAGATAGAACAATGAAAAAGAAGTACTAATGCCAAATTTTAAAATGTTTCTTTTAAAAAAAAAACTTTTATTAATGTATCATTTAAATGTAACTGTAATTAATGAATTTATGAATACATGATGCATATTGCAAATGATTATGACTGAACTATTCAGGCAGTACACTCCAAGCTCTCCCATACAGCATCTGCAACTCAGAACAATAAAGTATAATAAAACTAACAGCATATGGAAGATATTAATAAAACAACAGATTACAGAGAGCAGCTCCTTCCCTCTGGGTTACTTTTCTGTCCACCTAAGCCCCTAAGTGTTTTCATATCCATCCTCTGCAGTAAATAAATAGGATCTAAGTGCAATCAATAAAAGCATACTGCAGCCTACCTGTTGAAGCTGCTCCTCCTGCTGCTGATTGAACGCGATGAGACATGAAAAAGACACGAGAGCATAGTCAGTAACGAGTCTGTCATTCATGACCGATTAATACACTCACTCACTGCAAAGAAATCAATACAAGCCCACATACAGCATGTCTTCAGTTAATGCAGAAAGCCTACAGCAAACAACAAGTCAGATATCACCCAAAAGCATAAGGATGGATAAATGCAAAACGCTCTGCGCTCAGGTTCCCACACAGCTTTTATTTAAGGTTTGCATCCTGCTGCAGCGCCACACTGAAGCTGGTGCTCCATGTGGTGCTTCAGCTGTTTTCAACATTATTCTGGCGTTCCCCACGACTGGGAGCCGTGCATCTGTTTAACAGATCACAGGAGCCTTAAATCTGCCTGTGGTTTGGCCATTCCTTTCATTCTGAAATAGCCAGAATGTAACCATTTTTTTGTTTAAAAAAAGGACATGTTTGCCTCTCGAGTCTGCTTATGATCGTGTTGCAGTTCTGGAAGGAGCAGAGTATTAACCGCCAGAGAGGGGTAAGAATGAAAAGACGGAGCAAAGCCAAAAAAACAACCCCAAAGAAAACACACTCTTTTCCGAACCATGATGCTAAAAGGAACAGATAGTACGCTCTATTTTACAGTCACAACATAAACAGGAGCAGCAGGCAGCTTCGGTCATAAAATTTCTAATCTGTTATCTAAAGATGTCGATACCACTCTTATATCTGCAGACTGAAGATAAATAATTGAGCTGCAGCCACAGACTGTATATAAAAGATGGATCGAGCCACAACGGCATCACCTCCTGGTTTGTAGACTACCTAACGCAGCCTGAAGTTCATTTTGTTTTTGTGTTTCAATCTGTCTGGAGATGAAGACAAGGAAACAGCTGATCAGTCATGTGTAGAAACTTATTCAGAATAGGTATTTCCTTCTCTTGTCATGCACATTAGCTCTTTATCAAAACAAAGCTTAAAAAAAAATACATTTAAAAAAAGAACAGCTCAAGCGAGTACCAAAACTTGAGGGTGATATTTTAAATGCTGTCGTTTTTCCCATTAACTTTTCATATGCTGTACTTCAAAAGGTCCATAAAAATACCACGACAAGGTAGCTCTAAACCACACTCTGGTTTAACATTTGGTTTATTTTCAGTGGGACCATAATTTATGAAATGAACATCATGCTGTATTGAAGGAGACTTGAAGCTAATGATTGATGCCATAAACTCACTGGGGAAATGCTTACTGAAGTAATAAATCAAGTGAGAAGTAGGATCGTTTTCTCATAGACTTTATACAATCGGACTTTTTTAGCAACCGGAGTCGTCACCCCCTGCTGGCTGTTAGTGGAAATGCATATTTACGGCACTTGTGAATTGGCTTCACTTTTTGGATACAGAGGCTACAGCCATCTTTTATATACAGTCTTTGACTACAGCCTGAAAGGTTAGCTTAGCACAAAGACTGTAGTTCCTTGAATGGCCACCTGAGGCTGCACAAATACGAGTCGATCCCCATAGAGCCCCATGTTTAAATGCTTCACTTTAAAGCAGAAAAAACACGTTTACAGCCGGGTACAAAAAAATGTTGTGGTCTCTATAGCTTATTTCCTTATTCATGACAACTGTAAAGAGGATGAATTTCTACACTACTTTAAATTTTACTGAGTCTTAAAGCTATGCATGGTCAAAGGTGTGGCCACGTTGCACGGCCCACCTCAGCTCCACTAGCGCGTCACCTCTTTGCTCATTTTTAGATTATTTGGAAGTTAGGATGAGTCCAAGATGGTTGGAGCCACCACACTGAGCTTCAACACCATCCTTTATGAAACCTGTGAGGGATGTCAAGGGAAAAAAGTGATTCCCACCACTGTTAACTAATGAGCTTCAGAGGTGCTGCTTGATGGATTTTGGACGATTTCCAGTCTTTATGCTAAGCTAAGCTGATGGCTGTAGCTTCACATTTACTGTACAGACATGAGAGTGGTATCAATCGTCTCATCTAACTCTGCAAAAAAAAAAAAAAAAGCAAGTAAGTGCATTTCTAAAAGGTCAAACTATCATTTTACAAACGGATGCAGAAGCAGCTGAAAAGAAGCAGGAAGTCAACAACCGGCAGCATACCAGGTTGCCCCTCTTCTTCACACGGGGCGCTCTCTATTTCTGAGAGCTCAGATGCAGCTTCGACGCCTCCTTTCTCTGCAGACGTCTCCGCTGCAGGATAAGTGGACGTCAGTCAGTCATAAAATCAGACTTGTTAGATCCTAATCTGACACTTTGTTAACTCAGCTCAGCCTCCTGACGCTGCGACGGGTCAGTTGTGGTATTTCTTATGTTTGCGCTCTCAGGAGCTGTTTAACAGATCAAGGAGGCTTTTCAACCTGACGACCCCCCTCCTGCTTTGCTTTGGACAAGCTGTCACTCTCAATATTTATGATCAAAGCATGCTTGACCCAGACTGGAGGGGAGCTAATTCTACCAGGCACAGAGCGCCGTTATTTTCCATGTTGGTGGCTGATCTGTGCCCGTGGAGTGGTGACTCTGCATGTTCGCTGGGTAATAGGCTCCTGTTGAAGTTTGTTTGTGGTAACAACACAGCTACATGTGGCTCGCTGTCACTAGCTGGCTATAAATGTCAGGCAAATGAGCAGGTTTAAAGCAAGAAAACCCAAAATTAAATCAAGACGGGTTAGAGCTAGAAAGCTGAAAATAATGACACCAGTGAGGTAGAAAGAAATCTGCAAAATAAGACGAAAGCTTCTCCGTTCGGAGCTCTGAAAAAAGGAAAGTTAACCGTAAAAAAAAATAAAAAATAGAGAGAAATTAACTGATGGTTTGCACACAAGCTGAAACATGCTAATTAAGGGTTAAGCTGGGTTTCAAGCTTCACGGCATGAGGAGTTCAGGCGGTCGTACCAGGCTCGTCATCACACTGGCTGCTGTCTGGCTGAGAGAGCTCAGACACAGATTTCACCCCGTTTTCACTGAACGCTGCTTCGTCCTCTGTGAATTGAAAGGTAAACCGCAGGTCAGACTGGACGTAGTCGAGACAGAAGCAACGGAAAAACCAAGCGGAGCTACATTAAACGCAAGCTTTCCACAGTCAGCCTGTAAAGAACGGTTAGAAATACCTGCAACAGTGTTATTTAAACCCAGATTCATGAGAAGTGTTGCTTCAGGAAATACGATTTATTCTTATCAAGAACAAATTATAAAACACTAGACAATGGGGAATAGGTTAAAAATATCAGACTATATTAGAGTAAATGTTGGTTTGAGAGAAAGTAAGAGTGTTTTGGGAATGACTTTGCGAACATGTACACAGACAAGAAATTCAGTGTAGATGCTCACAGTGCTGTAAAAGGCAAATGACACTTAAAGAAACTAAAAACTTATTCCCACATAAACTAATTGTGTTATTTCACAAGAGACATCGAGGATGAGGTTTTTGGATTTGCACATGTAAACACCAGCTCACATTTGTAGTGATGAAGAAATGCTGGTTTGTCTTTCAGCAAATGAAGGGTTTCAATATATTTAATAATTCAGACAGAAGATGGAAATGATGACGCAAATATGAATCTCTGAGAGGCAGACATACGGAAATCACTGCATTCACAAAAGAAGAAATAATGGAGACTTTATCTCGTAATTATGACTTAATATCTCATGGCAGCAGTAATCCATCACCTCACGGTTTGAGTTTTTGCAATGAATTTAAGCTAAAATATCATCTATTGTGGTATTTTCTTATCAGTTACGGCTTTTGTGCATTGCACTGTGGCCTGTTTTTAGGCTACACTTAGAAAAATTAAGTCAAATGAGCTAATAATGATTCTTTTTGTTGTGTACTATAGAATTGACGGTTACCAATGAATTACTTTGAAATGGAAGAAGTTTTCAAACTTTGAAAAGTTCATACTTATAAGAAGCAGCTGTTGTAATGATGAGATAGTAACTCACAAAGGAGATGGTAAAAGTAAAAGAACAACCACATTACATCTTTTCTCATATTTATGAGACTAAAAAATAAATAAAATGAAATTATTAGACAGTAAGAGAATCACTGTATCCTGTAAGTATGAGATGTTCTTCCTAATTATGAGACATTTTCTCATCAGAGGAAAATCTTTACTTATAATTACACAGTCCTGTCTCAAAAGTAAGAAATATTTGGTCTTAATTATGCAATAAAACCTCCAAAAGTGATGTTTCTGATGTGAACACAATGCTCTGCCATGTAGAGGAGACGGGATTGGAAACTTTGGGAAAGAACCTAAAAGCTCTAAACTGCAGTTAACTCCACATGACTCCACAGCTAAGAAGAAACCATCTCTAAAAAGCTCTACATCTCCATGAACTAACCAGAACCACACCACTAACCTCACACTACAAGTGCTACGCTTTCCACTCATCATCTCCTACCTTCAGAGGTCAGTTCGATACTCACTTTGTGATTCTGCGCTGATAAATGTGTCTACGTCTGCCGGTGGGTCTGACTTTGTTCGCTGCCTCCTGTTCATACATGAGATGATGCAGAGTGGAAACGGGGAGAACGACTGCACTAGTGAGGGCTGTAAACTGGGGAAAGCTAGGCTACGTACTAATTGGTCATGTGGTTGATTGGGACAAAAAGGCAGAAATCACATTGCTGATCGGCTGAAGCTGATTTTTTAGCTCCAGGCTGAACAATCTGTCAGGACTGCGATGAGTCGTTTTACAGGATCAAACACTCGACGCAGCCTTTGACATTTATTCCTCAGTCATGACATGTCCTTTTGAAAAAGTTGCTGTTTTGTGCGCAGCGTTGAAGGCCTGATTGTTTGTGGAGTGAATCGGGAGCGAACAGTGGCTCAGGATGGAGACAGGGCTCGTTCTCAGGACTCTGACCCAGATGCCTGGATTACAGAGCTCAGTGCAGCTGCAGTCGAGCATGTCTTCTATCCATTATGTAAAGAGAGATTACAACAAAGCACAGTTGAGACTCTGAGGCTCGGCCTCCGCCCCGACTCTGCTCAGACTACACTGACTTTCAAGAAGATGGACGCTTAAATTCTCGTCGTTGACACAATAATTAGAATATGTTCTGGGATTAGAGCTCTAATGTGAAGCCACAGACAATAACCTTTAACCGGTGGGCTCCACAGTCAGACAGTAAAACAAACACAGCTATAATTATCTGCTAAAACACATTAAAATGCAGTTAAGAGTTATTAATGTACAATATTTATCAGCGATTATCAATCTTATTCAGCTGAGTTATATCATACTTCATTATCTGCTTATATAACAGCATCCACTTATTAATGCTTCACAGGAAGAGAGCCTACATTATGTGTTATAAACTATTTATTAAGTGCTCAATAGCTCGACTTAAAAGCACGACCATTACATCACACATCATATCAGAATCACTTGTTGTCCTTTACATAAATCAACTTTTAGTGAAACTCTGTTGCCTTTATATGATTAAATGTTATTACTCTGCTCGCGTTTGCTTATTAAAATAATAATTTCATTCGTTATTATAGTCACGGTTCCATATATAAGAAGAATCTGGGATTGTCTACGGCATAAAAGTGGAATGCTGTTTAAATATTATTATAATTTTGCATATATTTGCAGTGTGCCGCTGAAATCTGTATTTAATAATGTTGGTATAACAGTTTGAATCACTCACCAGGAGCAACAATCCAAACATGTTGCTGCCTGATTTTTACAATTTAATTATAATACTAGAATAAAACTATACTTATGTCCTTTTCATATTTTAAACTTATTCTAGTAGATGCTTCACATACATTCAGAGTTGAGTTATTATTATACACTTATATATTATCATACAATTATACACTTAGTCACTTATTTGTGTACTTTATATAATACTGTAGGGTCTTAACCTTAATATTTAAATTTACAAGATGAATTTGTAGCATTAATCTTATCTTTCTGTTGGAAAACAACTTCGGCTCACCGGCTGTTGCTTTAAATGTGCAGCATAAATAACAGTGGCTTGATCTGAACTGCAAATGTAAAGCAGCTGGTATATTAAAATACACTGCAGCTCTTTTAGACAGCTATATATATATTTATATTCATATCTGACGTAGTATGCACAGATAACTGTTGCTGCATTTAAATAATCTGCGAGTTACAGCGACACAATTTTCCTATAGGACAGTTGTCTGGGCTCTTACTTCTAAAACACTGTTTCTAGTACATACAGCAGGATATTCAGTGTGTTGCAGGCTTGAAACTGTACATGTGTATCTCACAGATGGGTGACAAACATGACGAGTATCAAAATAATCATCTGCTGTCTCTAAACCCAACTGAACAAAAAACTTTTGGACTGATTGCTCTCCATCACCAGAAGAGTTTAGATGCTGGACAACAAGGATGGAGGCGGAAAAACATCTTGCTAACGACACTTTGTTGATTTTCAGTGAGTGTGGATCTTATCAGGAAAACGGAGCTTCATGCCGTCGTTGTCGCGTTTATTTTTTTGTCATCATTACTGTGTGTATTAACTTAAAAAAAGCATCTCTTTATCTGCATTTCAAGCACGAGGACCCTTTGGAGGAACTCCAGGCACTTTGTGGGTGGAGCTTAAAGCGCTGAACATTTCTGATTGGTGGGCGTCATTTTTTTAAAAACCTGTCGCTATATACTGTTGTTTACTGTGCTTCTAGACGCCAACGTGGAGCTACAGAAGAAATCATACAACAGATGGGTAACATAAAGACGACATAAAAACAGGCATCCTTCTCATACATAAGCTGACTAATCTGCCTGATCTTCGTTGGTCTTTAGATCGCAGCGGACATGCAGACAAGTTCCTTGAATAAAAAAAACTAACAGTTCCAGGTAGTGTGGGTGGAAACATGGCTTTTGTTGGCTGTACTGGTTTTACTGTGTTTCTCGAGTCTGACCTTTCATTTTGGCGACTCCGTTCTCCTGGTGGTGCTGGTCGTTGATGGTCATGTTGGCTAAGGAGGAGCTCATGGTGTCTCCAGAGCTGTAGCTGTTGGAGGCGTTGTTCATGTAGTCCATTGCCAGTCGCAGGTCAGGCTGCAGAGGAGCACATCAGTGAAGATCAGAACAGAGTCAAGCGCTCACGTGTCACATGTCAAATTGCAACGCAGCTGACAAGGAGGAAAGGATTAAATGTAATGACGGCGCACTTCATGCACACTTTGTCTTCCGGCATGTACAGCCCGGTCCGTCACCACACAATGTAAACAGACACTGAGTCTGTGAAAAGCGAGTTATTTATACATCCTGACGTGGGGTCGGCGCTTCATGTTACAGCCTCGCGGACTAAAATAGTCCCCCTGCCCATGTGCACGCTGTCCTCATCCACCGTGACAAGCTGCACTTCCTAAACAACCTGCTCTGAGTCTGTGACTTCACCTCCAACAAGTGCGGCACTTGTGCTTCGCGTAGCGTCGCACTTCAGAGTCATTAAGATGCAAATGCTGCACCGCAGGAAATCAAAGTCCTGACACGCTCCTTCAGCCAGCGAGATGTGAATTGCGTCAAATCTCATAAAAAGAGGATTACATATCAGATTAAACCCAAGCCTCTGGTTACATCAGCACTTTTCAGTTCGAATCATATTTTTTTCGCTGCCCTCTCACACAGACTCAGACTCCCGGCCAGCACTGGGAGCTTAGGGCGTAATCAGTCTCGGCATCCAAACTGCTCGTTCCGTGTTTGTTTGGTGATGCAGATTTGGCAGCTTCTGACCTTTGGTTTCACCCTCATGCGCACTTTGGCACATCGACATGACGGGTTAATCTCTCCGAGGTACAGTACTGCTTAAAGCCTTCAGTAACCAGAAGACAGCTCATGTCATCGTGGTATAAAATCGCTAAACTGGGAAGAGAAATTAACCAGAAAATTAAAGGATGTTGCCACAAATGTTCGAGAGAAAGCAACGAGTTCTGTTTCATGCTTTATACTTGTTGCACTTCATTGTTACATTTATTTAGCAGTTACTCGTTACTTCACAGATTAAGATTTTACACAAAAAAAAAACCTGATCAGCTTAAAAAATAATAATAATGTAGCTTGTGACTGCTTACAAATAAGCTGGTTGGAGCCAGACGTATTGACGGGTCCAAAACAGACTCATGGAAATTAATCTCTGAATTTGACATACATGCATTAAAATCGTCTGAACCTATCTTTGTTACAGAAACTGGCAAAATTACACAATTTATCATCGTCAAAAACAATAAAACCAAAAAGAACCATCGGATTTTCAACTTTCTGGCGGTCCTTAAATTCCTCATCTGCAAATTTAATTTATTCTAGATGTCTTATTTAAAAAAGGGGCAAAACTAAGCCATTTGCGCGATCCAAATTCTGTAAAAAAAAATTGAGCTCCTTGATGCAACTGTGAAGCCTTTAGTGACTCAGCTACAACCAACAATCAAATGACAAAAATATTCAGGGACTTTGGGCTGAAATTCAACTTTCATCTCTCCCTTGTTTGACATATGGCATCATAACTCTGTGATCCTGCACAGTTGAGTTCTCTCTGCAATAGTCATGGTTGTGCCATTTCCATAGAGGTGCAGGTCAGGTTTATATTGGAGGGAAAAATTAGCCCACAGTAAGTAAAAAGAAAAAAACTAAAAGAGCAAAACCAGCTTGAGGGTTAATGAGAGACCTGAAGAGAAAGAGAAGATTTAAAAATAGAAATAAAGAGATCCAAGCTGACCTGACTCTGGGTTTTTCTTCTTCTCTTACTGAATTGATGGCAAAGAGGTTTAGCCAGACACCAAAACCATATCACCAGTGGCAAAATAAGACTTGAGTTTTTTTACTCAAGTCGTTTTTGTTTTTCAGATGGTCAGAAATAGCAAGGAAATGCATAGATTTATGTTGAATAATGCAACAGACTCATTGTCTCTACTGTAGCCACCACCATCACTGTCATGCATAATCATCCCCCAGAGGCCCGTCCTGAGGAAGAAAAAACCCAGATCGTCATGTTTCCAACAAACATGCATTTCCCCTTGAAAATTCTCTGATGGTTTCATGTAAATGACCCACTGTTTTAGAAAAAAGAAAACTCCTCCAAAACTGGAAACAGATTTGTTTCAGAACATGTTTTTTATTCTTTTTTCTCTCCCAGCAATCTTCTCAAGACCAGTCAGATTCCTGTTTGAACCTCCTGAGCTGCTGCACTTTAATATCTACCTGTGTTCAAAATCTAATAACATCATCTGTAGTAATACATCACTGACAGGGAACGTTTCTCTGCAGAGTCACGACATTTTCCTGCAGCTACTTGGGCTCAAGTCTGAATGCAGGGATTTTACTGCCGCTAAATTAAGGATTGGAGCACTTCTTCCACTTCTGGTCCTCTTGAGGCTTTTCTTTGACACCGTGGAGTGATGTGACGGCACCTGATGCAATTGTCTCTTTATGAGCGGCAATGCCTAAACTGTTGCCGTGGTTACCCCACCCTATAAAACCCACTCTAAAGGCGCACTTGGCTCAGCTATGTGACCTTCCCTCTGTGGGCCTTCATATCTCCTGACCTTGGCTGTTTAAACAGCGTCCCACATTCAGCACAAATGGCAGAGTGGGACAAGGTGGCAACCGGATCAGGCCTGAAACCCACAGAGAGGAAAAACTGCTGCTTACAGTTCAGTGACGCAAAAGGTTAAAGCTGGTGATGATCAAATCCAAACATTTATTAAACCTTCTAACAACTGTTGTGCATCAAAGACTGACAGATCTGACTCCTGTAGTACTTCATTCACTAGAACATCAAATGAAAACAGTCCCCCCCAATAATGCACTATTTCCTCCTGTCTGAATAATGATTGCTCAAAGACGTGTATTTAGTGAAATTACAGAGCCCTTTTTCAAAAACAAAACTGAGTATTTGTTATATTTCTGCAGGTAAGTAGGCCTGACAGAGAGAAAAACAATCCCCACACGCTCATCTGAAAATCATTACTTGTTTCCTGGATTATTTCTTTGATTGTTCTATAAAAATACAAAAAAATAACAATCACGAGCTTTAAAAAGTCGTCTTGACCTATCCAGAAAACAAAATGTGTAGCTGATTGTAATGTAAACGACAGAAAAGCAACAAATTCTCACATTTAAGAAGCTTAAACCAGAAAATAACTGCATTTGTGCTTTGTTATATAACGCTTAATTCATCATCAATTAATTATTGAATTGTTGTTTGTTTAGACAAAAATTTGTCAAGCAAAAATTCCCAGAATGTCACTGACTTGGTGAAGTAATCAGCGTGTTACTATCAGTTGAGTTTATTGATGTTAACAAAGAAAAACTTTCAGAGACTTCATTAAAGATTTTTATCAGCTTCGGCCTAATTAGTCTAATATACGACAAGAAAAAGCAGAAAACTCTCAAGTTAGAAGCTGCAACAACACAGTGTTCACTTATTACGCTTTAAAACTGACTAAAACTATTATTCTAAAAGCTGTAGATACTACATTTCCCACAATACACCTCAGCTCATCTACAGATAACGTGCAGATTTAATTTCCTGCGACTAATCGATTGGTTGAAGAGCAGGTGCAAGATTTTCTTTGACTAAAGCTCTTGTTAATTTATATTAGCCAGTAAGAAGGAACATTTTTCTGCATTAATTACTTTTAGCACTTTAATTACAATCTTTACTTATGTAACTTTTTACTAGCAATTGAGCATTTTTGGTCCTTCTCTGCTGTTTACTGACAGTAAGAAGAAAAGCAGCTCTACTCATTAAAAAACAAAAAGTGCAAATCATCATTAAAAAGAAAAAAAAAAGAGGAGTTCCAATACATTATAAATGGACGAGTGTGTGTCCCCCATAGAAATCCTAATGAATAGTGTACTCTCGGTCCTCACACACGGCTCCGGGACAAAACTCCCCATTGTAACGTCACACATGACAGAATCCAAACAACAAGGAGAAAGCTGCAGCCTTGCCAACGAAGACAATCCCTCCAAGAGGCCGTTCGCTCTGCATCCGGGAGCTCAGACAGTTGGAGAGCAAACAAACTGGAGGCTGATAAGGACTGGATCCTCCAGCTGATGATCATGTGTACACAGGGAACGGACATTACTGTAAACTCCGGCTACGTTACGGGAGAGAAGCTGCTGCTTTAAGCTCTCAGTAATTTTTTTAAAGTAGAAAACTCTGGTTTTCTGGATTCTTTAATCTTTTATGATGGCAAACTGAATATCTTTGGCTTGTGGACAAAAAAGAGAACACTGGAGGATGTTATCTTGGGCTTTGGGAAACACTGATGAACTAGTCTCACCATTTTATGGCATTTTAAAGACCAAATAGCTAATAATCAACACAATAAGCGACAATAATG